TTGGTTCTCAAAATGGCGGACGCTCTGTGTGGTTCAAGCTCTTTAGCGTTTTTCACACAAAGCTTTTAATAAAAAAAATCAGTTAAGTTCTCAGCTTCTTGTTGCAGAGAAAAAACTTTTTACACCAAGGCACGAGTTTCAACCGTGTATTTTGGAGCTTCAACAAGACGGAGGTTTTATATTGCCGACATCAGTTGATTCTGTTACGTTTATAAAAAGATAATAAAAACTGTTTAAAAAAAATAAAATAAAATTAGACGTTTGCTGACATTTTGAAACCTGGAGTCCAGATTTGTACAGACTGAAGGCGTCAAAAATGCTGCTGAGATTTATTAAAGGGTTAACTGTTGTGAAGAAATTAATCTTTTAATCTTATATCTTTATTAAACTGAGGAGGAACAAGAGAAAAGACATTGAACTCTGTGAGCGGAACAAACTGAAATGAGCAGAACAGCAGCTAAAAGACAAAACGAGCAACAAAATGAGTTCTCGTGGCTCAATGAGACTACCTGTATAAATAAAGGGTAAATGAAAGTGGAGTTAAGTCACCGTCAAAGTTAAAATCATAAGAAAACTAAAACGGAGATAATTTGCTGGAGCAGCTTTTCAAAAAGAACAATGTTTTTAAAAGAATTAAAGAAATCTCAACATATTTCTAAGCAGGAAATATTTAAGTTAAAGAATTCAAAAAGTCTAAAACAGTTTTAACACACTATTCTCAGCTGAGCTGAATGTTTTATAAATGAATTGTTAAAGAAGCACAAATGATGTGGAAGTAATTAAATTGTAAAAATGTGTAAAAAGAACAAAAACATTTTGTTTTATGATCCATCGAACATAGTTTGAATTTCCAAATTAAAGTTGATGTTTGGGGGAAGGATTGAGAACCTGCAGCCGTCCTGCGATGGCGTCCAGTTTGGCGTTTACGCCGTCCCATCTTTGATCACATCCCTGCGCCGACGCCAGCAGCCGGGTCTGCATGGTGCCCTGGAAGAGCCGGGTTAGGGTCCGGTTCCTGCGGGTCAGGCTGTCCAACTGGATGAGCTGAGATCCCGCCTCGCACCGCAACCTCTAAACACAGAGGAGCAGACCATCAGCATGTCTGCACACAGTCTTCTTTAGATACTGGTTCTTTATGTCCTTCAGAACATTTTACGAGAGAAACTCTGGACCTTTTAAAACCATCCTACAAACAGTCCTCTCCAAGATGAGCACGTTGTTAACAGAACACAATAGGAGCGAGTTGAATTTTAAAAAAAGTCACCAAAATAGAAAATATTCAGATCTCATCTTTACACAGGGGTGCCACAAGGCTCCATGTTGGTGCCACTTCTTTTCAAGTTTTCCAATCCTTTTTTGAGTTTGGTAAACTGCCTGCACAGTTCTGTAAATCAATGTTGGGACCTCACTTTCATTTCTGAAAAGTTAATCAGTAACCATGACAACGAAATGCCATTTTTCTCTCTTGTACTTGACGTTAACCTGGTCTTCTTGATTTGAAGACCAGTTGCCCTTCTCTAAAACCGATAATTCCCCAGGCCTAGGTTAAGAATCGACTGTGGGCCATGAAACACCAAGTGGGGAGGTTACTTTTCAAAGCGATAACAGTCATAAATAGATAAATATAATGGCTGACGAGGCTTATTAAATATTCTATCAGCGATGTTTGTGCTTCAGCCAGTTGAGGTCATGGATGTCTGCAGTTTCATATTTTGGGTCAAAAGCTAAAATGTTTGAAAATGGCTGCTCTGCTCATCGGTTGTGACTTTTCAGAATAATCATCTGCAACAGACTGAACTCTGGGTGCTGAGCATCCATCCAGCAGTACTCCCAGCATGCACAGTAGATCCTAGATGGTCCACCAAGGAGCCACACATCTGGTGTTTTATCAGAGTGCGTTTCACTACACTGACTTTAAATGGTCACAAGAAAGTGTTTGAATCTGGTTCCTGGAGCCTTCAGAGGGACTTCTGGGTCCGAGTTGTTCTGGACCATCGGGTCCCTCTCAGGAACACATTCAAGAATCTCTGAAAGGCCTTTTACTGCTTTAAAACCTTTTCTACTCTGCCCTGGAAACGGATTCAGCTCTCGGATCTGGACCTTGAATCTTGTTCCTGTCACTTTAGATAAACCGAACACAGAACTGAGGCTGATTTTATCGGTTTTTATTCAGCGACAGAAACACGAGCTACAAGAACAGGACGTAGAATCGATGATGCAACGGGAGAAACGACGTCAGTTCTGTTCTTCTTTTGTATTGAAATTTTAAACGTCTGAATAGCTGCCTCTTTGCTCTTGTTTCTACACTAAACCCTCACTGACCACCATGTCCAACAAGGATTACACTGGTGCTTCAGAAACCAGAGTTTGTTCTGTGGCAACAACCTGCAGCTGCACGATCACATTTTGTGGTTTAAAGGTGGAAAAACAAATAGAGAATAAAAGCAGCTGCAGTTTAACAAGCGGCTGCTGGTGATATTTACTCTGTGCTTGGATTAAGCATTAAACCAGGCTTCTTTTAACGAGACAAAAACTCAGGTCAAACTAACATCCATCAGCTCTGACAGCAGCAGAAAAGGACAAAGGAGGTTCAGAGCTCGACAAAACGCATCCGTCAGAGGCGAGAAGAAATCTGATCGTTTCAAAACGTGTTGTTGAATTCTGAAGGCCTTTTTATGGGAACAATAAAGTCGGGTTTGTTTCCCCACACCTCAACCTTCTTCAGCTCCTCCTTGGCTGTGCTGTAGCTGATGTGGGCGGAGTCCAGAGAAGTGACGGCCTGCTCAGCCAATCGCAGCCATGCATCCAGGTGGGCGTGTTCCTTCATGAACTCGTGCCAAAGCGCCCATCGTCTGTCCAACCTGCAGAGACAAGGGACACAAAACGAAGGACGTCTTCCATCAAACCGTGAAACTATGGAAGCTCATTTCTGCCACTCAGGAAAACAAATCCTCAGGGTTAAATTTATTAACAGTTTAACTCTTATAAACCTAAAAACTGCACAAAAAAAACTTCTAATTGTTTCTTGGTTCTGAAACAACTATGGAACATATTTGTCTAAAGTAGAGTAGTTTTATTCATTTTCATGTTTTATGGCAACTCTTGCTTGATTTGGTCCAAATACAAATCTAAGTTTGTCTTTTATCAATTAGATTATAGACTTTTATATGGATGTTCTATTTTATTCATGCCACCATGCTGACCAGGACTCCTTAGATTAACAGAGGATTTATTTAAATGGTACTTTCATTGTTAAAAGACAAAGATAAATAAAAGTTGGAATGCAAAGTTATTTAGAAGCTCCAAGTGTTCTGGTAGTTGAGTTAAAAGAAGTACTGGTAATATATGAAACCCCATCATGTGTTTTCAAAGAAGTCCACAATTCACCATCAAATCCCAAGTTTTACTGCAATGCAAGTTTATATATATAGCTACATAATTTTGTTCCACCTTATGTACCACATGTGATGTGAATGACAAAGAACCTTGAACCACACACACACACAAAGTAAATATATATATATATATATATATATATATATTTATATATATATATATATATATTAGTTTATCAGTGAGACTTGTACAATTCCTGGTGTTAATGGAGAATTTGGTATCAAACAAATAAAATTTGTCATCAGTTACAGAACCAAAAAGCAAATATTCCAAAAGTGCAATAATAAGGAAAACTCTGTAAAAATGTTTGTTTGGGGGGAATTGGACACATCCTGCGGTCAGCTGTGGAACACTATTTAAAGATCATGTGTCCAGTTAACCACTGTTTTTGTTTGTCCAAACAGGTCTCACTTGTAAATGAGTCTTCGAGGCTCATTGTGACTTATCCGTTTAAATATGAATGAATCCATAAAACACTCACTGTCCACGTGTCCACAGAGCTCCATCTTGGTTCCGGTTTTCGTCCAATCGCTGCCTTTCCTCTCCTTTTACCTCCAGAGGAGAAGAGTGGGAAAGAAAAGGGTTCTGGACCAGATCCAGGAGGAGCTCCAGGTCCATCACATCCTCTCCAGCATCAACATTGCTGCGGTCAGAGCTGAACATGGCGCCTCCGCGGCGTTCGGAGGAGGGCGGGGTCACTCCAGCCATGGTGACATCATGTTAACTTTACCTGAAGAAAAACGAGCAGAATACGGTCGTCTGAGTGACGAAACCAAAACAGACTTTATGTCTACAGAAAACAGAAAATACTTGAGCTCCAAGCCTGGTTTGTTTTTTTGTTTCATATCCAGTGGAAAGTTCCTGATGACTTTTTGGATTGTGTGGGATCCTGTAACAAACTGAAGCTCCTCAGTGGCTCAAACCCAAGGTCAGTTATCCATTTATATGGAGAAATCTGAATCTGAAGTTCACAAGACAGTGGTGAGACCAGCTATGTTGTGTGGTCTGGAGACAGAGACATGGACAAAAAGACAGGAGACAGAACTGGAAGTAGTAAAATTGAAGATGTTGAGGTTCTCCTTAGGAGACAAGGATGGAGAAGGTTAGGAATGAGATCATCAGAGGTACAGCACAGGTTGAACAACTGGGAGATAAAGTTGGAGAAATCCTTTCTCCAAAGAAGAAGAAGAAAAAAAAGTGATTCTCTACAAGAGCTCGAGCTGCATGGTCCAGAGCACAGACTGTCTCAAAGCAAACAGAACGGTGACCAACCCAAAGACCCAAATTAATTCACAACTTCCAACCCAAGAGATAAAAGGTTGTGGGTTTTTTCTTCAAGGTTTAAACTCAGGTTTAAAGCCTCCGCGGTGAAGAGGAAACAGTTTGTGTTTAACACACAGAGACAG